GTGGGGGAGCCGTAATATGCACCCTACGTGGGTGTTGTTAATGGCAGGCGGAGCGTTCCCGTAGCGGAGTGCCCCCCGCCCGGAGGAGTTATCCCGGCGCAGCGGCGGGAGCGCGGCTGCTTCCCGCTGGGAAAGGCGGGCTCCTGGCGGACGCGCTTCTTACCGCGCCTGTCTCCTCGGCCGGGACCGGGACCGGGACCGGGACCGGGACCGGGACCCTGCCCCTGCCCCTCCCTCCCCGCGCAGGGCGAGGCGCGGCCCCACAGCCGGCCCTACCTGCGGCGGGGCTCCGGGCGGGGCGGCAGCAGGAAGGGGGCGGCGCGGTGGGGCGGCGGTTCCGGGCACGTCGGCGGGCGCCGCTCGTTCCTCGCCTCGGGACCCCGCTGCCGCCCGCCCCATGGCCGCCCCGCAGGACCCGCTGCCCCCAGGTAAGGACGCCGCTGCGGGGAGCTGGGCGGGCGACGGGAGGGGTAGGCGGTGGCGGCTCCCCGGTTCCCCCCCGGCCCCCCGCCCGGCGCGCCGGTGCTGGGCAGGCCCCGCGCGGATTGCCACCCGCGGCGTCCGGCCTCCCCCGTTCCCCGCCCGGGTCGGGGTGACCCGCGGCCGTGGCTCACGGGAGCCAGGTGAGGAGCCTAGCGCCGGCCGACATTAAAAGCGTCTGTTACTTGCTCCCTTCCCCCTCCGCACAGCTAATTAAGAATAGTAGTAATTTATCTGCTGATGTGATTGAGTGCAACTTGTCCTGTCAAGCCTGCTCCGATGCTTAGCGTATAAGTTTAATGTGCTTGCTAGCAGCACATTAAAAAAAACATTTTCTTAAAATCCCAGACTCATGGTGGTTAGGGGAGCCCACACTCTTCAACTTGCATGGCTAATGGTGCAAATGACTTTTAGCTACCTCATCTCAGGTGTGCCAGCATCCATTTTTCCCTACCTGGCTGCTCAGACAGTGACAAAGTTTTGAGTAGTTAACAGTAAAGTGCACAAGTGCTGATGGACTTTGATTTTTTCAAAGAACTAAATATTCTAATATAATTTGCTGTATTTCCTTATTTAAATCTGAAATTTGTGTGCCTCAGTTTAAAGCACCATTGTTGGCTTGAGTTTAATTAAAGGGTCCATCTCAATGAACAACACTAATACTAGGGTGATGGCTTTGAGTTGTACTAAGTTGTGCTCTTAATGTTTATGCCCTGCCTTGGCATGAAAGAGATCTTATATGCGTATGGTTGAACTACATTGGTAGACCTTATATTCTTCACCTACTACTGGTGGTGCCAAGGCTATGTTGCAGGAAAAAAACTCTAACGGAGGAGAACAAATGGTGCTTTGTGAACCCCCTCCTGCTTAAAGGCCAAAATGCCGAGGTCTCCAAAACTCGCCTTCAGACTTTGTTCTAATGCAAGGATGAAGAGCCAGCACAGGATTAGAAGTTTGAACATTTATGTGTAGACACATATATACCGTTGTGCATACATAAAATTGGCAAATTGTTCACACTGTTTAGTGCACAACATTGCATCCCTGTTAGACTAGCAATATTGAACAGAGGGAAATGGTGGTGGTGGGTACAAGTCTGCTATGCCTGTTGCAGACTGGTTATACTGGACAGGCTCAGGCAGAAGAGCCATAGCTGCTGCTGAGCAGTCAGTGTGCAGGTGCTGGAACCTTTGGAGCAACGGTTGAACCTGCCTTTTGTCTGTCTGAGTCAATTTGCACATGCTGATTTATGTCCATCTGAGTCAAGTCACGTGTGGTTCCTGGCAGAAGTGTGGGGAAGTAGGTGTAGGGCAGTGGCTGTATGCTGTCAGTGGCGAGGATGGTGATAGGGACTTTTTTGAGGGATCCCAGATAATGTCGTTGTCAAGCTCTCTGTGACAGTAACTGTGAAATCAGATGGTCTGCACTGAATAGTCAGTCAGATGATACATGTATTTCCTGTTGGCCTTTCAACATGCAAAACGGTGGATATTTTACATTTGAGATAAACAGAGAACTTTCTGCTGTTTCTGCACCTGCATCCAGCTGTATGAGATGAGCTGCAGAGTGCTGTAGGAGATAAGTGTGGGAAGAGAGAGAGGACATGGCATTTTAATTGCCTTATTCACAATTAAATATTAAGTCTGTGTTTTTAAAATTATCTGCCTACTATCAGTGGTCAATAAGGCCATAGTGAATCGTCTGCAGACAGTATACGGAGCCTTTATTTTTAGGTACAAATATTCATAGATATACATGCCACTTATAGAAAATGTTGGGACTTGGGAGTGCTCTACAACCTAAAAACCATGGAAATTGCTGTTCTTCATAAAGAACTTGAAAAATAAAAGAGAAGAAACTGAGGTACAGGAAAAGAAATTTTAAAAATGTTTTTCAGGATATATACTAAGGAAGAGGGGTTGGACAAGATGATCTCCAGAGGTCGGTTCCAACCCCAAATTGTTCTGTGATTCTGGAAGAAAGGTGTGGAGTCACAGATTCACAGTGACTGTTTCTGTGTGAGACTTAGGAAGCAGGAGCTAATGAAAGGTACCACCCTGTACTCTTATCACCTCATGTAGAGTCACCTGGGGGTCTGTCTAGTCCTTATTTCAATTGCCTGTATTCTTGGAGCTCCTCCCATTTTTTCAGTGCTTCCCTCTGGAATGTGGAAAGGAAACTGCCAGTGTGGCAATGTACCTTGGCTGCATCTTGGAGATGTAACAGAGTGTAGCATCTTGGAGATATGGCAGGGAATGAAGCCCTTACTGTAGCTATAGTAGGCACCAAGGTTCACCAGGGCATGGAGCTTTTGTGGGGTCTGCTTTCATCTACTTCAAGGCTTCTCATATTACAAGGGCAAAAGAAAGCGAAATTTTTTTTTTTTTTTTTCAATGCGTCTAAGAATCCGTAAGGAGGAGATGTAAGGCCTCTAGAATAAACTGACGATGAGCTGCATGCTTTGCCACTGGGTCTGTTGGATTTTGCTGGCAGCAGAGAAACAGTGAGGCTAGGGATGGCCTTATTCCCTGGAGCTTTTCTTTGGCTCCCAGTATCACCTCCTTGTTCAGCTTTCCTTTACAGGCGGGCTTCTTTCTTCGCCCCAGCTCCCTTTCCAGTTCCTTGACAGTTCTCCACTACACTTCCCACTTGAATTGTCCATTTTTGGCCCTTCTCTCATGCAACGTCTTATGCCAGCTTACTGTATTTTCCCATATCCCAGTCTGACTCAACCTCTCTGCATTTGAGTTGGGAAAGCTTATGGTGATTTGTGCTGGCCCTCTCCATCAGGGCAGGCTTTATCTGCCTGTTCATTCTGTTAATGCCATATTTCTGGAGCAGAGATTTCATATTTACCAAAAAGGTAAATATGGGCACACATGACAAGAATATGTGGGTTTGGTTTGGGTTTTTTTGCTCTTCTGCATATGTCTTCCTAACTTTATGATGCAGGGTGAACATGGTCACCTGAAATTTCATAGACTTCTGCCTTTTAAAAATATTCAGTGTGTCTGTGTGCAAAGGCTGTGCTTAAGCCTTGTAGATCTCACCCCTCTGTTCATGTGCCACCTGCCTGGAGAACGTATGTGGTCTTCTGTGGGCACTAGCACAGAGAAAGGCTTATCCTACCATTGCAGAGAAGGCCTGGGCACCATACTGGACACCCGGGAACTGCTGCTGATGGGGCTGCCTCACAGAAGCAGGGGGGAGAAGGGCTCTGTCCAGATCCCTGGGGCTGCTTCTGTCCCACTGCTGCCACCTTTTGTATTTTCAGGCCTGTTGATTGTACTGCGTTGCATTGTCTTATGCTTTAGCTTGTTGTTGTGTTGTATCGAGTAGGAGTAGGTCCCAAAATAGACAATTATGCTGAATTTGAGTTGGTTAGAATAGTGTCTGTGTAACTTCTGTGCTGTTTTGGGGCTCAGTGTTTATTGTTTATATTGTGCATTTTTTAATTAATTTGTGGGACTGTATTCAAAGTACACTGATTTCTATATTTGGGAGAAGGTGATCACCAAATATTGATTCCAACTGCCCCTTACTGGTTGTGCTTGAAAGCGTTTCGTGTGTACTTGTAAGGACTTTTAGAATGAGAGTGGCAAGAAAAGAGTGAAAATCCTTCTACATAATTTAAAATGCTTTTCAGTTTTTGCAAATGTGATCCTTATCAACAGAAGAGATTCCTCAAGAAAATGGCAGGATGATGTTAAATTATAGGAGTGGTTTTGTGAATTGTGACTTTTGTGTGAGATTTATTTCAGAGTCTGCACTTTTGTTCAGTACCCCATTATTATTTGTCAGTTTAGCCATAGATGCACAGGGGTTGACATTTAATTATTCACCTGCAAGTACTTTGAAGATTTATTTTTGTATCCTTTTGATGTTAATATAATTGAAGTTTATGATTCTGTTGTATACAAATAATTAATGTTTACCTCAAATATGTTTTTATTAGGTTTTGTAGTACAATCTGCTATTTATTATAGTATTAATTTTTGTTGTAATGGGTATGTTTACTGTTTGAATTATTGCTTTGAGGAAAAAATGGAGTGCTGTCACTTGGAGAACAAAACAGCTTTCAGCAGATCTGCTGGGTTTTACTCTTTATTTTGGAATTGTTTTCTGTTGAGGTTTTTTGTTGTTCTTGTTGTTGTTTTACTAAAAATGATTTACAATTTTAATTTAAGCGTATCTTTTGTTAGCTTTAGCTTAGAGTTGGGTTTCCTTGTTGCATGTAGTTTCTCATCTATGTGCTAGTAGCTCTGACACTTTCTAGTTTGTCATATATTCTTATGGAAATGTATTTTGACATAATGCGTGGAATGGCTGCAGAGTTGTGCTTTATCTTGGTCAGACAAAGAAGCAGAATATGAATTGCTGGACAGAAATATTTTGAGCATTATGCAGTGATAAAGCTTTCTTATTTCCAGCAGATCATGGGGCAAGAGAGCCGGTGGAGGATACAGATCCAAGCACTCTTTCCTTAACAATGGTAGGTGTTTCTGGTCTAACACAGTTAAAATCACTATAGTTCTCTACAGTTATGTCATGCAGAAGTGAGGTAAAACATTCAAGAATGTTAATTTAAACCATGCATATATCTAGGAGTTTGCTTAGCCATATAATTATGTAAACATATTTTAATTTACTAACCCTTTGCAGTTCAAGTGTGAATAAAAATACCGATAGGTACTTAAGCTGAATTGGATGTTATCAGCTGAGCTGTCCATGTCCATGGGATAGCCTCTAGAGGCTATGACAGTACCTTTTTTTTTATTATTATTTAAAAAAACCCCAACAACCAACCAAGAAGGATTGGTGCAGACATTCTTCTGTCTGCATGTGTTGGAGGGATAAGAAAACTCATCTAAGGCTTAAAATTTCAATTGTACTAAGTTACTCCTTCCTGTACCTGTTTTGTCTGGTGAGTTTGTCATGGCAAGGTAAAACCGAGCAGGAGTGAAGCCAGGGAGAGACCAAGCAGCGCTCTCTAGTGCTTGCTGGCAAACACAGTAACACCCTTTATGACAAGTTTTTATGTCTTAGGATATTAAACATGCCAATCTTATGCTGAGACAAGGAGTTTATCAGGTAAAAGTAATATGAAATTCGGTGAAGTCTTTTAAGAGCTTTTCTTTTTAATGTTCTTTGGATTGTTTTCTCTGGAGAAAAGTTACAGTGCTGTGTGGCCCAGAGAAGACTGTTGTCTAATGTAGTTATGTAAACAGATTGAAATGCATTATTTTATAGATGGCAAGTGAGCAAGCTATTGCTTTGCCTTGGTGTTTTCTTCCCATTTTGAAGCTTTGCAACAGGGAGTTATCAAGAAACTTGGAAAATTTCGGTAGTACTTCAGATGCTGATTGGGATCCATTATTGCGGTCTGTGTGTATGCGTTTGTGTCAGCAGGTTTTAATAAAAGATGTGGACTGGCTGAATTAGATGCTGCGTTTTGCCAAGGGGAGTTTTTAAAAGGTGGGGAAGAGTTGCTAGGTTTGAGACAAATGAAAGCTTGTTTATCCCCCTCACTCCCTTAAATTAAGATGTCTTTAATCTGTTTGCTTGGTTATGAGATTCTATAAAAGCCACACCTACTTTTACATAAGGGTAGAGGTCATAGGGGGGAGGGATGTTTCAGGTATAATGGTAAGTTATAACACGCCTGGATATCAGCAGCTATCCCCTTAAACTTGGTAATAATAGTTTTCTATTGCATCTTAGTCAGCTTTTTAATTTTAAAGCAGAAGGGAAAAATATTTTTTCTTTCAGTACAGTAACATTTTACTAAAAGCTTATATCTGCTAAAAGCTTTTGAAGTCATCTCTATTTCTCTTGGTATGCATTACCTTTTCTAAATTATCTTGCTACTTAAATGCAAAATTTCTTTCCCAATCTCTGCTTTTTTACTAAAAATACTGCAGGAAAGCAGCAATCTCTATTACTTGCATGTGATAATCAGTAGTGTTAGTAGCATCTCAATTCCTGCATAAGAATAGTATTACTGTGATTGTAAACAGATCAACTAGTAGTAATTTAAGAAATGCAACTATAATTATACAGTTTTCTATACTCTTTCTCCAGTACGATTACACTCAAAATAACGAACACTTGTGTCTCTTGCCTTTTTGTGACAGACTGAAAAATATCCTGTCCAAGACACGGGAGTACCTAAAGGTAAGTATTATGAGTTCTTTCTATTCATGTGTTATAGATCTGTGTTTGTTATGTGTGGTAAAACCATTGGTGTTATCCAATGGATTGAAATAATCTTAATTTTCCTAGATATTTATATTTTAAATGTAGTGTTGTCTTCTGTATTTTTAAGGCCAATTTGATGTAAATATACATGTATAACTTTTGAAATTTCCTTCCAAAGTTTAGATTTGATCTAAAAGTCAGTCTTAAACTATTATCAGAAGATCTTGGTTCTCAATCTGGAAGGAAAACACAGTGGTGCTATCAAAAAACAGGATTCAGAGAACAGAGGTTAGAGACATGATAATGTTAGAAGGTGGCTTTGAAGAGATTACCAGTGCCTTCAGGTTATCAGAAACGTAATTTAGAAATACCTGATTGCATTCTCAGCCCTATAACCAGTTAACTATTTCTGCCATCTTTTACCTTCAGTAAGTATTAATACCGTCTACTTGGGAACCTAGTATAGGTCCACTCTGCACAGGTTTCTGCTTTTCCTCACTGAAAATGGAGTAAAGTGTTGCACTGTGTTGCACTGAAGTCAAATGCATGGATTACACAGTGTGAATATGGTTTCCTTGACATATGGGGTGGCGCTTTTTTTTTTTGTCACCCCAGGCTTCATGGTTGGCTTTAGTCCAGGGAATGCACTGGCAGGGGCTCAGTTGAGGAGCACTCTGCAGGTAGTGTAACCTCCATCCTGTGTTGCACAGCAGGTCTGCAGCAGGGAGAGACAAAGGAAACTATGCATAAGCTAGTCACAGTGGAAACTTTTGCTGAGGAGCGTGACCAATATACCAGTAAGGTTAAAGAATATTTTGGGGGCCAGCCAGAAGAAACAAGCATCTTCTCAAAAGTGATGTTCAGTAGGGAAGGAGAACGTGCGACAAAACCTAATTTGAAATCATAAACTACTTCTATGTCCTGTTTTTAATTTCCCTTGTGACATCAGGTCCCCCACAAAATTAATTAGATGAATTCCTGTGTTTCAAATTTGTCAAAGTTGTTTGAAATCTGAGATTGCATGTTTTAAATGCATTTAATTTAAAAAGGAAAGCTGAGAGGAAGTGGAAATTTCTGTAGAAAGGAAATTAACTTGGTTTATTTTTAATTTTAGTTCCTGCTTCCTCTTGCTAAGTGTAAAAATATGTAAGTGCTAATATAGCTTGACATTGCCCCTTTGGGGTTGAAAGTGATACAATATTATTAATATGTATGTATTAATATATAATACATTATTAATATTCAGTTAATTTCTGTGATTTAAATTTTTTCTGAGAATGAATTTTTACAGAGTTATGAAAAAATCAGACTTAGAAATGTGATCTAAAAGTGTCACAGATGTGCAGGTCTGATTCTGTGTAACACAAAATTATCTTTGCTTCAGACAAACGAATAAACAGTACATTGGCTGGGGTGGGGGCTGTTTTGTTGCTCTTATAGGTCAGTTGTGGACCGTTTTGGGGCCATAGCTGATTAAAGTTCTTAGCACCTTCTACTGATTTTTGAATTAAAGATGAGTTGAGGGAACTTACAGGGCTAGGCTTAATGTTTTTATTGTGTTCTGATTATAATTCTACCTTCACTTAGATACAGAACAAATTTCACACATAATGTTTCTGCACAAATGAAGTGGACTTTTGATGACCATACTCTGCATTTTCAGACAGAATTTTTTGGATATTTTTTGTTGTTGTTGTCTCTGGACCAACAATCATAAAGAGTAAAGATGATCCTTATTAAACATTTATCCTACTGCGGGTAGAATACTCTTTGGCTTTAAGTTTCAACAGTCTTATAAAACCAGAAAAAGAATAAAACATTTCTTGAGTGAGACAGGGAAATATGTCTTCTTTCTGTTATCTGACAATTCATAAAGATAATAGCTGTTCTTTAATGATGTTTTACCAATAAACAGCAGATTGAAAGGTACCAGCACTACAAATGTAGTCACCACCATGGAGAGTCCTTGGGGGGGGGGG